CTGCCAGGACAGGACCAAAGAAAGCAGGAGAGCATGGTGGTCCTCTCTGACAACGGGATTGACTACATGTAGAAGCTGAAGCATCCACCACATATGCCCCTCTTCCCCAGCTTGGGGTCTGGGAAAAGCCCCAATTCCTATTGAAGCAAACTTCTCTCAAGTTAACGATTAGGAAGTAAGAACAGACATAAAAACATAAATGCCGATCTAGGAGGTAGTGTTCCCTCTAAGCATCTACATAACCCTTTAATCATGATAAATTTAATTAAATTTGTTTTACCCTAAAGATATAATTGTAGATTTCTCTATCAAGTCTTTATCACATGAAAATATGATGAACTGTCTTTTATGTTTTCATGCAAGCCGCTCCTAAAAACATCAGATAGGACAGACTGATGTTAATCCATTTCTTAACACTTTTTGGGTAAGGCTGTGTTGACCAGCTATGAAGCCACTTAATTGTTGCTTATATTTATTTATCTGATCTAAGAAAATATCAGGTCTAGATGGTTTTATTACTAAGTATTATCAAATATTCTTTTATCTGATCTAAGAAAATATCAGGTCTAGATGGTTTTATTACTAAGTATTATCAAATATTCTTTTATCTGATCTAAGAAAATATCAGGTCTAGATGGTTTTATTACTAAGTATTATCAAATATTCAAGAACCAGTTAATTCCTACTTTATTCAAACTGTTCTAAAAATGGGGGTTTGGAGGGGAGATGGAGACTTCAGCTTATTTCATAAAGCTAGTATAAATCTAGAACTTTTCAAGAACCGTACGTGGGGGAAAAAATGATTGAAAAATCTCATTAATGCACATAGGTACAAAATTCTTTAAAGATTACCAAACTGGACCTAGCTTTTAATTTTATACGTTATAAAGTGGCTGAGTTTTGTTTATTCCAGGAATATAGGATGGTTTGATAGAAAGTCTATTAATGTAACTCACTACATTAATAGATTGAAGAGGTGGGTAGGAGTCAGGAACAGACCACAGGTACAGAGAAGAACAGTCTTTTCTTTTTTTTTCTTAAGTAGCTTTTTCTGTGTAACCAAACCACAAAATTTCTGTGATATAAAACAAACATTTATTTTTCATACATCTTGGGTAAGCTGGGGGCAGCTATTTTGGGCTAGGCTCAGCTGGTCAGTGAGTCAGCCATATCCACAGAAGTCTCATTATTCTTGGACAGCTGGCTAGTTGTGGCAAGTCCATCTCATGGCAGCGCAGAAAATTAAAAGAGCACATTCAACAGACAAACACACATCAAGCCCCTCTACCTGCATAATGCCTGCCATCATCCAATTGGCAAAAACAACTTGGATGTTTGAGTTCAAAGTCAAAGAATGCGGAATTATACTCTCCATAGCATGGATACCCTAGGAGGACATGTGGGTATTTTATTACTTATGATTTACAAATATGACATACATGTACATATATTACATGTTTATTATGTGCCAGTTTATATACACATGAAATATGGTACATGCAAATAAAACTTAAATTCACAAATTAAGTACACTTTGGGATCCTTCTTATTTACTAGGCTCACAATCTTATCCGAAAAGGAAATGGAGTTAGTTTGGCAGAAGGTGTTCGTCATGATCATCTCTTTCATCTTTATTTTTTTCCCATTCTTTCAACCTCTTCCAAAAAGAATTTAAAGAGGTTTACAAAGCACTGAGACAAAATAAATTTATAAGCAGAAAACAAAGAAAAGGGAAAATAAGGTTGCCGAAGCAAGATGGAGCTAGAAATGCCATTAGTACTTGGCTGGATATTCTGTTTGCTCCTCTTATCTTCTTCCCACCCTTCTCCACCCGTTTATTAGCTCCTGCATCTTGGGCTTCTCCTCTAGCTCCAGGATTCACTGAGTTCTGATGACCACTCTGTCTTGCTGCCTGAGGCCAGAGGCTGGTAACACACATTTCCTATGAACTTCCTTGCCGCCCCCCTTCAATCTTGCCACATCTTTGTAACATGAAACTTTCCTGACTTAACCTTTTCAAAAGTGCCATGTTTCCTGCCAGAGACCCTGACTGCAACAGCCCACAAATTGTACGCCTTAAGTCTAAATGCCTGCTAGAAGTAGATGACAAATGCAGTTCTAAGGTCTCAGTGTGATTACTGTCGACTTAAAAAAAAAAAAAAAGCACAATGTGACAGTTGTGAGTTAAGCTTTATTTGGAGCAATGGGAGGACGGCAGCCCAGGAGACAGCACCTCAGACAGCTCTGAGACTCTGTTTCAAAGAGGTAGGAGGAAAGGACAGTATATATGTGATTTTGGTAAAGGGGGAATACATGCAATTAAGCTCTTTTGTGTGTGTGTGTGTGTGTGTAATTTCTTCTGGTCTTTCGAAGCTTCTGCTAGTCCCAAGACACAATTGTCACCAAGCAGAATTTTAGTGCTTTTTCTAGTTACGAGGAGATACAAGAACTGGGCTCATAAAATCAGTTCTAAGAATATCTAACTATCTGAAGGCCTGTCCTGCCAGTTTTCCCGGAGCACAGAGTGCCTCATTTCTGCTCTCCACCCTGAACTCCTCTGGGTGGTGTTGAAGGTCAGCAGCTGCAGCAGCACATGATTTAAACCTTGTAGAGGTAGATGGCGGGCACCTATGGCAAGGGCCAACTTACAGCTGACATTACCAAGTGGGAAATACAATCAATAAAAGAATCTCCAGTCCCTCTAGAGAAGCAGATCTACTCTGGATGGGTAGAAACTTACCTGTCATTCTACCCTGACGGCTAAGAAACTTTCTGTGACTTCTCAGTGGCAACTCTTTGTAGTATAACATCCCCATTCTCTTCTGCCTCACAGATCATCTCCAACTAGTCAGGGCTCAGTTCTCATATACCTTCTCCTCTTATCCACACTCACTCCCTAGTTGATTTCACCTAGTTTCATGGCTTTATCACACACATGCTCATGACTCCCAGTATGTATCTCCAGTCTTGACTTTTCTCTGAATTCCAGTTTTCACTGTCGAAGTTCTTCCATTGTTTATCCAACGGGCACCTCAAACTCTTGGCCTGTCCAAAACAAAACTTGCCAGTCTTTCTCCATCTCAGTAAAGAACCTAGCATTTTTTCCCTTGGTTTCTAAGGTGTGTGGATTGGTGACAGAGGGGCTGGTGGAAATATATCATCCTTGATTCCTTTTTTCTCACACTCCACATTCAATGCAGCTGCACATCATGCTGGCTCAGACATTCAAAACTATATTCAGAATCTGACCAATTCTCACCAATTCCATCACTCCCACTCTAGTCCCCAAAGACCCAGTCTCTCTTATACCACTGTATTTTCTAACTGGCTTTCTTCCTTCTGTCCTTGCACCCTTCCAGCGCCCCACATCTAGCAGCAAGTGTGATCTTTTAAAAATATGTCAGATCATGTCATCTTGTAATCAAAATCCTCCTGTCACTTACCATTACACTCAGAATGCAGGGTAAAGTTTCAACTATGGCCTGTAAGGCCTTATATGAACTGACCATTGATGTTCTGTGAGCAGGTCAAACAAAGTACTTGAGCTCTCAATACTTTTGTATTTGCTGTTTCCTCTGATAGAAATGCTCATCGCCAGGTATCTACATGCTTCCACCACTCACTTCATTTAGGTCTCTGCTTAAATGGCAACTCCTCAGAGAAGCCTTCCCTGGTCACTGGCTCAAAATAGCCCCATGATTCCTATTTCTTACTTTACTTTTCTTCACAACAGTAACTAGTACCTGTTGTTGTTTAGTTGCTAAGTTGTGTCTGACCTTTTTGTGACCATATGGACTATATCTTGCCAGGCTCCTCTGTCCAGATTTCCCAGTCAAGAATACTGGAGTGGGTTGCCATTTCCTTCTCCAGGATATCTTCCTGACCCAGAGATCAAACTTGAGTCTCCAGCATTGCAGGCAGAGTCTTTACCACTGAGCCACCTGGGAAGCCCATGATCAGTACCTGAAAGTGAAAGTGAAGTCATTCAGTCATTCATTCTGACTCTTTGTGACTCCATGGACTGTAGCCTACCAGACTCCTCCATCCATGGGATTTTCCGGGCAAGAACACTGGACTGAGCTGCCATTTCCTTCTCCAGGGGATCTTCCCAACCCAGGGATCAAACCTGGGTCTTCCACATTGTAGGCAGACACTTTCACCTTCTGAGCCACCAGGGAAGTCTCAGTACCTGATATTACACTAATATAAATACATGATTACTGCAACTGCCTTTCCATTTAGAATGTTAAACGCTAGGAAAACAATGGTTTGTTTCCTTTACCCCCAGGATCTCTGGTGACAGACACGGTGCTTGACATATAGAAAGTGAAAGTCGCTCAGTTGCGTTCAACTCTTTGCAACCCCATGAACTATGTAGTCCATGGAATTCTCCAGGCCAGGATACTGGAGTGGGTAGCCTTTCCCTTCTCCAGGGGATCTTCCCAACCCCGGGATCGAACCCAGGTCTCCAGCATTGTGGGCAGATTCTTTACCAGCTGAGCAACCAGGGAAGCCCAAGAATACTGGAATGGGCAGCCTATCCTTTCTCCAGGGAATCTTCCTGACCCAGGAATTGAACCAGGGTCTCCTGCATTGCAAGCGGATTCTTTACCAACTGAGCTATAATGTGAGCCCTTGACATATAGAGGGTTCTTGATAAACATTTGCTAAGAGTATGAAAGACTCCAATTCTAGTTCATCTTGTTCCTTGACTCACACTCAAGAAGACCCAAGAAATATTTGAGTTCTCAATTATGTGAGTGCCACTTAGCTAGATGCTTCAGTTCAGTTCAGTCATGGAGCTTATCCCTGAAGTGAGAGAGCACTGCAGCGCTTAGCCTAGGGCAAAAGCTGGAAACAATGAGACAACCTTTATGTTTAGGTTCTTAACCACGTAAATCGAGGACATGAACACTGCTCTTACACGTTTGGCGCGAACAATTAGCTGTAAACTGCCCACTTAACCTCACAAAGTCAGCGCACGCCCCCCACCAGCGCTCAGTGCCGCTAGCGCGCACGCGCAACAGAGAGCGCCGCCACGCAGGCGCACTGCAGCCCGGAACACCGCAAAGGCGGCACTGGCTCCCCGCGGGCGAGTAGGCAGGCGCGCGCGCGCTTTTTGGGCGCGCGAAGAAGGGGGCGCGCGCCATGGAGCAGCGGTTAGCTGAGTTCCGGGCGGCCCGGAAGCGAGCCGGACTGGTGGCTGAACCCAGCACTTCCAGCCAGCGTACACAAACCTCGGGCGAGAAGGCAGAAGCAGCTACGACTCCAAAAGCACCCTCAGGCTGGCTAAAACGGTTCCTGGCGTGGAAACCGAGGCCACCGAGTGCTCAGGCCCAGCCCAGCCTCGCTCAGGTGAGAGGAGGGAGGCCTTACCCCTCAAGCACCTGGCTTCTGAAACGCCGACGTGGCCTCCGAGGCGCCTTTGCCGAGGCCCCGCCCCGGCATCACGTGGTGGCCTGCAGGCCCCGCCCCCACGTCGTGGACCGGCCCGGTCCAGGCCACGCCCCCCCGGGCCTGGACAAGCCGGTGGACAGAGGAGGAGAGTCTATGGGGTCACAAAGAGCCAGACACGACTGAGGGACTAGCACACTTTGGCTAGCAGAGAGGGGCTGCTGGCGCCTCCCGCCGGCTCGGCAGCGGGGCCTCGCGTTTCCTGCCCGCTCCTGTTCTGCCCTGAAGAGTGACTTTGACATTTTCCTTCCAGCCAGGGACCCGCGCAGCTTCGACTCCAGGCGGGAAGTTGAGGGTCTAGGGTCCCAGAAGAAATCACTTCTGCCCTTGCGTTATTCACAGCGAGTTGAGTGGTCGTTGTGGCTTTGGGAAACCTCTCCACAACCGTAGGGGGCCACAGCCCTCTGCTAATGGAGGGAGAAAGGTCTAATTGGATGCTGATGAGAAGTGGCAGTAATTAAAGCTTGATTTGATTTCGCATCTGGGCCACGTGCCCAAATAGCCTGCGCTTTCGAAATGGTGTTTGAATACAGAACTGGCGGAAGTGTGCTGACTGCCTGTGGTGGCATGTGTTGTGTATCACTGTTGAAGTAGCGAAGCCTATTCAAATTTAACAATGTTTAAGGCGAAAACCATAGATTAGTATGATAGCTTTTTCAACCTGTTGTGTTAGTCGTTAAGTCGTGCCCAACTCTTTGAGATCCCATGCGCTGTAGCCCGTCAGGCTCCTCTGTTCATGGCATTCTCCATGCAAGAATACTGGAGTGGGTAGCCATTGCCTTCTTCAGGGGATCTTCCTGAGACCCAGGGATCCCACACAGGTCTCCTGCATTGCACGCAGATTCTTTACTGTCTGAGCAACCACGGACGCCTCATTAGCTTTTGGTAATCTCTCATTCCTCTCTCTGTATCTTGGTTTTCACTCTTGAGTAAGGTGGCAGGGTGGCTTGAGTGTGAGATTGGAGCGTGCCTATGGGAACACAGGACAAAACATCAAGGGGAAATCTGTGAGCTGGTCTTTGTACCTCCTACGTGCAATAAGTGCCAGCAATTCCTTTTGAAAAGTAAAATGTGCCTTACTCCTCTTAAAATTTCTTAAGTTCATCTATCATCGCACCACATCTGGTTATAAGGAATTTTTTTTGGTAATCAAGGAGAACTTATTGTTACTTAGTTTGAATTAGATATTGTTCTCCATGACATACAGGTTCCTACTGACTTGCAGAAAGAGTGTGCAGGGTTCAAACAATCCATTTCCTTGCATACAGTTTGTCTCAGGATAACTTTATTGTGGATTAGAACTCACAGAGCACAATTGCTTAGGATTTTAGAATCCATTTCCTCTACCCCTTTTCCTCCGCACAGTTACAAAACATCTAGCCTACACAATGAGTTTTTTACTTTATGTCTCATTTCCAAAGGAATATGAGATCACTGAGTTGGGTCTAGAGGAGCTGAGCTTGGAGAAAATTTCCATTATTAAAAACCCAAAAACTGATGACCTGACAAAGGGGTGAGAGGCAATGCTGGACCTCCTATGCTTCTTATCAATTACTCTGTTTTTCATAAGGGACTTTGTCTAAAACACATTTTCATTTACTCAGTTATCATTCCTGAGTTTGCTCCAGTGTGAAATTATCATTAAATTGCTCCCCACCCCCACCCCCACCCCCGCCAATTTCTGATCTGTCTCTACCTAATAATTTGGGTGGCACATAGTGACTTGTCCAAGGAGATTTCTTTATCCTTCTATTTATAATTGCTTCTTTTTGCTGGTCATTAATACAGAGGCGTCCACCTCCTCCTCCTCTCACTCTCGAATTTAGCTTGGGGAAAGCATTTCCCCCAAATGAAATATTTATTTCTACAGCAAGCTTCTACCACAGTGGGACAAAAATGCCTGTAACTTTTATTTTTTAATCCTGCCAAACCCCTACCCCACCTCCATCTCCCTCCCCAGCCCCCCAGTGCACCATCTAGCCCCAGGGTCTATTGATCACACTTATCCTGCAACTCCTCCCTTCCAGGCCTTGGCTCAGGTTGGCTCACTGCTCAAATGCCCTCTTTCTTTGGCATGACCTAGCCAGGCACAGGCTTTGCATCACCCCTTCAGATCCAGGAGTCATCTCTTAAGTTCTTCCTTTTCCCCACCAGCATTCGTTCACTCAGTCACGTGCCCACTATGTTCCATCTACTGTCCTGAGTCCCAGGAGACAGTGCAATAAAGACAAGGCCCTGCTCTCACAGAACTTGCTTTTGAGTTGAAAGAACAGAATGATGAATGCTACAAAAGGGAGGAAAACCCAGAGTGCTGTGATAGTGAATCGGGGGTGAGGGATGCAGAGTGTCACTTTAAATTGGGTGGACAGGGAGGACCTCATAGAGGAAGTGACCTCACCATTTTTCTTAAGAAGGAGCCACTCTTGAGAAACCTGGGACAAGGACAAGGGCCCACGTAGTGACATTTTTGCTGGGGTTTGTAGAAGAGGGAGCCAGCCAGGTGGTGTGAGGGGAAAGGGCTTTTCTCTCAGAGGAAACCACAAGTGCAAAGGCCCTGAGGTGGGAAGCACTTTGGTATACTGGGAATGGAAGTCCCTTCCCTAAACTGCACCATATGTGCTGACAAACACTTTCACACACAGCTTTTACAATAGGAGGTGCACTGCTTGGAGGCATCTCTGGAGCTTCCCTCTCCTTTGTTTGTTCCCTTTGCCAGTTTAACACCCTTACCCCTACCTCATCTCCTTCTAGCTCTCTAACCCTTCCCCTTAGCATTCCCCATGAAGGCCCCTGATTAAGTAAAAAGGGCTTTGAAGGGAGATCATCCTAGGATCCTGGACCAACCTCATCTCTGCCCGTCACCAGCTGTGTGACTTTAGGGGAGTTCGTTACATCTCAATGTCTCCTTATTAGTAAATTGGGACTAATAAGGCCTGTCTGCTGGGTTACAGGAGATCAGGCATCTTGAAGGCACTCAGTAAATGGTGGCCATAGCATTATTCTTATTAATGTTCCTTTAATAATAAAATAAATTCAGTTTACTGTGAATTTCAAGTGGTGCACATTCAAGATGTGTTCTATATCCATCAGTCCATCATTTCTCTCTAATCTCCTTGTCACCAGCCTCATCTCTGCCTGGTCCTCTCTTATTAGGCCTCCTGCATGAGCTATTAACAATTTCCTTTTTCTTCTCTTGCAGCCCATTCTCTGCCTGGCATCTAGAGTAGTCTTAAATATTAATCGGATTGTATTTGTTCCCTGCTAAGACCATCAGTGATTTCCCTATTGTGCACACTGGTTGAATCTGAAAGGGACATTTATTTATTTAATAAATGTATGTGGAGGGGGTGGGGAGTGTAGCTGATTATATGTCAAAGACCTTTCCAATCTAATTGGAAAGGTAATAATTGCAACGCGTGCTAAGTCACTTCAGTCGTGTCTGACTCTTTGCAACCCTACGGACTGTAGCCCACCAGGCACCTCTGTCCATGGGATTTTCCAGGCAAGAATACTGGAGTGGGTTGGCACTTTCTTCTCCAGGGGATCTTCACGACCCAGGGTTGATGCTAAAAAAAAAAAAAAAAAATCACAGGTGACCTATATATTTTTTGGAGATCAGATAACAGTTTTGGTCCCTTTTAAATTGCCATGTGAAGAATAAGGGATATAACTGAATAAATGAACCAAGTCTGCTCTGTGCAGAGAACTTACGTGTGCAGTGCTGTTTGGCTCTGGAGACACCAAAAGATAATCAGCAACAGTATGGTGACCTCATGCAACAATCTAGGGACATATGTGATCTATATGAAAAGAGAGACACTTGAATGACAAATAGTTTGATACTCAGTGAGAAAGCCAATTAGAGCTCTGGGAGGCAGAGGGGCACCCTGCTTGATGGCCCCAGAGGTCAGGGTATACATAGTCACCAGCCGTGCTTGCCTGGAGAGAGCAAGTTCCTGAGGAATGAAGAGGAATATTCCCGGCCACAGATGGGCATTGTCTTTGGGCTGTAAGACCAGAGGATTCATTTCTAGAGCAGTAGATTGTGGATCATGCTGTTCAGGAAACTTTTTACAACATTATTTTACAAACTGAAAATTTAGTGGGTAGTGAAAAAAATTTTAAAGGTCTTATCCTAAATTAACTAAATGTAATTTAAAAAATAGAATAGAAAACCAAAGCTTCATATGTAATCAAAGTGTTGATGTGTGAAGACTTTTTTCCTGATACACACACACACATATATACACCATATATATTTTTTTGGGGGGGGAGGGGTGTGCAGTACAAAATGTATTTTTTATTGTGGATCATACCCAAAAAAGTTTAGAAAATACTGGACTGGAGACCAAACTCTCAAAAGCTCCTTCAATACCTCTGTCTCCCATTACACCCAGCATAGGGGTCTGTGTTCCGGCACTTCTGTCTTTTGAGTGAATGCAAGGCCTTGGATTCCAGCCCAAGGAGTTTAAAATTTAACTGGTAGGCAGTAAAAATGTGTCAAAGGTTTGTGAGCAGGAGGCTGACGGCTGTTGTGGCAGATTTATTTAGCAGCTGTACATGGGGTGGTGTGGGGAGAGACGGGTTAGAAGGAGAGTCCAGTTAGGAGACCCTGGGGCTGTGTAGGATGGTCACAGGGGATGGAAAGGTTGTGGCTATAACTATGATTTTTTTTTAATGTGTAGAATAGTCCTCATTTTAGAATCATGCCACTCAACAAAATTTTAGCTCGTCTAATCAAATCAACAGACATATATTGATTCTGTGTGGGAAGCGTGTGCCCGGCTGCCGCCTGATCAATTACAGGGAGTTCCTGGAGGGGCTGCATTAGCTCCTGTTAGCAGCAGACTAATCTGGTGAAATGTCTGCCTCAGACGGGAATCCACCTGAATGCTGTGAGGTTTTCAGCAAGTCACATCTCACTGATCGGTTTTGATTCAGAGCAGGATGCATGAGAGCTCTTTGGAGATAGTTGTCTTAGAGAGCAGGGCAAGAAAAACAGACACCAGTGAGGGGAAGCCTTCCCACGCAAGGACAGCCGCCTCTCCAGATGGGTTTTGATCCTCCTGGCCCTACTGCCCTTCATTCTTTCTTTGGTTTGTTCATGTGTCCTAGGGAGCAGCTGGGCCTGGGGGCCGCGAGTCCCAGCCACCACGGAGTCCAGCTGAAGCCCCTCCACCGCCACGGCCGCCACCGCCCCTGGCCCCCCGGGACCGGTCTCTCCTGACCAGCGTCACCTTGTTGAAGGTGCTCCTCTGGTTGGTCCTGCTGGGGCTGTTCGTGGAACTGGAATTTGGCCTGGCCTATTTTGTCCTGTCCCTGTTCTACTGGATGTATGTGGGGACGCGAGGCCCCGAGGAGAAGACGCAGGGAGAGAAAAGCGCCTACTCCGTGTTCAACCCGGGCTGCGAGGCCATCCAGGGAAGCCTGACCGCCGAGCAGCTGGAACGCGAGCTGCACCTGAGGCCTCTGCCGCAGAGATAGGACCGGACCGGCGGCGGGCCCCCCGGGCCGCGCACCCCCTGGCTTAGACTGAGAGCAGCTTGCGGGTCAGGTCTGCGACCCCACAATTCCACACTTCCCCTGACCTCCTGCGACAGTTTTATCTCAGAACTTCTTTTTCATTTTGGTGAAACTCCTGGAAAGATACTCACTGTGGGTCTGATGCAATTTATAAACATTACACACTCAAGACAGGAGACCTCTTTGTCTCTTTATTTAAGAGAGGCAATTCTTAGAACACTAGGAGGGCTTTGGCGAGATAACTGTTGAAAATATTGAGCTGTTTGAAGTAATGGTTTGGTACATCAGAGCTATGTGTTAAAAGTAAATATTCTCTTTAAGTCTTTTTTTTTTTTTTAGCATTAGTTACAGTAAGTCCCCTGCATACATACATGACTTCTGTTCCAAGAGTGCATTTGTAAGTCCACTTTGTTCCAAGTCCAACACAGTTAGCCTAGGTACCCAACTAACCCATTTGGCTATATAGTGCTGTAATAGGTTTGTAATACTTTTCACACAAATAATACATAAAATAGAAAACATTTTTCATCTTATAGTACAGTAAGAAAAAGTACAAGTACAGTGAGAAAGCACTTGAAAAGTACAGTAGTAATAAAATAGAAAACATTTTTCATCTTATAGTACAGTAAGAAAAAGTACAAGTACAGTGAGAAAGCACTTGAAAAGTACAGTAGTATGGCCCGACAGCTGACATACCAGGGCTGGCATCAAGTGAACGCGCAAGAGGCGTCACAGACTGGAGGAGAGAGAAGTGGGCGACGGCAGAGCTGAAGGGTCATCAGCAGTAGGAGATGGAAGGCAAGCTGCAATGTCCCTCATGCCTGACGTTGATGTCACTGGTTCTGGTTCCTTGCTGGATTCAATTCCACCTGTCCTCTTGAAAACACAGTCTAGTGGTGTCTGAGTAGTAGCTCTTTTTTTTCTCGCCATAATGACCTGGCAGCACTGGATTGCATTCTGAATGGCTGCTGCAGACTTTGTGAACTCTTCTGCATTCAGGTCCGGTGCCTCAAAAACTTAACAGGGCCTCTCACGGAAAACCCCTTTACTATTTCCTGCGCCATGAAGCTCTTCAGTTCTTCAGTTACTTCTTCTGCTTGTCTCTCTTGGTGCTTTCTCTGGGCCTCCCAACTCCAGATCTTCATTAGTAAATTCTTCATGTTGCACAGCAAGGAGTTCAATGCAGTTGTCCTCTTGCAGATCTGGTTGAAATAAAGAAACTACACTACTGTGCTTATACAATACAGTACACAAAAGCACAACCACTTGTAGAGGATGCACATACATGGCAATATACACCAGACACGTGAAGTGACTTATGAGACCAGACGTGCAAACACATTCTCACATCTTTGAAAGTTCACAACTTGAAGGTTCGTATGTAGGAGACTTACTATAATTTTTAATTGACACATATTTGACTTACACTGTTATTAATAGTTTCAATTGTATAGCAAGGTGACTCAGTTACATATATATGTGCATGCGTGCATGCTAGATCACTTCATTATGTCCAACTCTTTGCAACTCTATGGACCGTAACCCTCCAGGCTCCCCTGTCCAGGCAAGAATACTGGAGTGGGTTGCCATACCCTCCTCCAGGGGATCTTCCTGACCCAGGGATCTAACCTGCATCTCTTATGTCTCCTGCATTGGCAGGTGGGTTCTTTTTATTACTAGCACCACCTGCTGCTGCTGCTGCTAAGTCGCTTCAGTCGTGTCCGACTCTGTGCGACCCCACGGACGGCAGCCCATCAGGCTCCTCCATCCCTGGGATTCTCCAGGCAAGAACACTGGAGTGGGTTGCCATTTCCTTCTCCATTGCATGAAAGTGAAAGTGAAGTTGCTCAGTTGTGTCCGACTCAGCGACCCCATGGACTGCAGCCTACCAGGCTCCTCCGTCCATGGGATTTTCCAGGCAAAAGTACTGGAGTGGGTTGCCATTGCCTTCTCCAAGCACCACCTAGGAAGCCTATATATATAGTCTTTTTCAGATTCCTTTCCCATATAGGTTATTACAAAATATTGACTATAGTCCTCTGTTCTATACAGTAGGTCCTTACTGATTATCTATTTTATGTGTAGTAGTATGTATCTGCTAATCCAAAATTCCTTTTTCCCTCCCCCCCACTTTCCCCTTTTAACCATAAATTTGTTTCCTGTGACTATGAGTCTATTTCTATTTTCTAAATAAGTTCATTTGTATTGTTTTTAAGACTACACATATAAGTGGTATCATATGATATTTGTCTCTATCTGGTTTACTTCACTTAGTATGATAATCTCTAGGTCCATCCATATTGTTGCAAATGGCATTATTTTGTTCTTTTTATGGCTGAGTAATATTCCATTTTATGTATGTACTACATCTTCTTTATTCATTTGTCAATGGACATTTACATTGCTTCCTTGTCTTGGCTATTGGAAATAGTGCTGCAATGAACATTGGTGCCCATGTATCTTTCCAAATTATGATTTTCCCTGGATATATGCCTAGGAGTGGGATTGCAGGATCATATGGTAACTCTGTTTCTAGTTTTTTAAGGAACCTCCATATTATTCTCTGTAGTGGCTGTACCAATTTACATTTCCCCCAACATTGTAAGAGGGTTCCCATTTCTCTACACCCTCTCCAACATTTATTGTCTGTAGACTTTTTGATGATGGCCATTCTGACTGGTGTGAGGTGATACCTCAGTATAGTTTTGATTTGCATTTCTCTAACAATGAGCAGTGTTGAACATCTTTTCATGTGTCTTTCAGCCATCTGTATGTCTTCTTTGGAGAAATGTCATTTTAGATCTTCTGCCCATTTTTTGTTTTTAATATTGAGTTGTTTGCATATTTTGGAGGGTAATCCTTTGTCAGTTGCATCATCCACAAATAGTTTCTCCCATTCTGGATGTTGTCTTTTCATTTTGTCTATTGTTCCCTTTGCTATGCAAAAGCTTTTAAATTTAATTAGGTCCTATTTGTTTTTATTTCCATTACTCTAGGAGGTGGATCCAAAAAGATATTGCTGCAATTTATATCAAAGAGTATCCTGCCTATGTTTTCTTTTAGAAGTTTTATAGTATCTGGTCTTACATTTAGGTCTTTAATCCATTTTGAGTTTATTTTTGTGTATGGTGTTAGAGAATGTTCTAACTTCATTCTTTTACAGGTAGCTCTCCAGTTTTCCCAGAACCACTTATTGAAGAAAGTGTCTTTTTTCTCTTGTATAGTTTTGCTCCTTTGTCATAGGTTAACTGACTGTAGGTGTGTGGATTTATTTATAGGCTTTCTATCCTGTTCCATTGATCTATACTTCTCTTTGTGTGTGTGCCAGTACCATACTGGTTTTTAAATATTGTTTATTTATTTTCGGCAGCACTGTGTCTTTGTTGCTGCTCACGGGCCTTCTTCAGTTGCAGCTAGCAGGGCTAACCTCTAGTTGCGGTGTGCAGACTTCTCATTGCAGTGGTTTCTCTTGTGGAATACAGGCTCTGGGTGTGTGGGCTTCAGCAGTTGTGCTGTGTAGGCCCAGTAGTTGCAACTCATGAGCTCTAGAGAACTGTCTCCGTAGTTGAGGCACACAGGTCCAGCTGTCCCACAGTGTATGGGGTCTTCCTGGACCAGGGATTGAACCCATGCCTCCTGCACTGGCAGGTGGATTCTTTACCGCTGAGCTACCAAGGAAGACCTACCATACTGTTTTGGTTACTGTAGTTTTATAGCATAGTCTGAAGACAGGGGAGCCTTATTCCTCTAATTTCACTTTTCTTTCTTAAGATTGCTTTGGCTATTTGGGGTCTTTTTTGTTTCCATACAAATTGTAAGCTTTTTTGTTCTAATTCTGTGAAAAATGCTATTGGTAATTTGATAGGGATTGCACTGAATCTGTAGATTACTTGGTGTAGTAAAATCATTTTTGACAATATTGATTCTTCCAGTCCAAAAACAGTGTCTCTGTACATCTGTTTGTGTCATCTTTGATTTATTTGATCATTTTCTTAAAGCTTTCTGAGTACAAGTCTTTCATCTCCTTAGGTAGGTTTATTCTGAGGTATTTTATACTCTTTGATGTGATGACATATGGGATTGCTGCCTTAATTTCTCCTTCTGATCTTTCATTGTCAGAGAATAAGAATGCAGGAGATTTCTGTGCATTTATCCTGTATCTTTACCAGCTTCATTGATGAGCACTAGTAGTTTTCTGGTAGCGTCTTTCGGATTTTCTATGTAGAGTATCATGTCATCTGCAAACAGTAATTATTTCTTTTTCAGTTTGGATTCCTTTTATCTCTTTTTCTTCTCTGTTTGCCCTCTCTTCCTGCTCTCTTGGTTGTTTGGCCTGAGATGTTTCAGCACTGGAGCCTACAGGCTTTTGGTTGGGGCCAGGTCTTGGTGCCAAAATGGTGGCCTCCGAGGGAGCTCATACCGATGAATATTCCCTGGTGGAAACCACCAGAGTCCCTGGACCCACAGTAAGTCACGGCTGCCGCATCCTCACTCCACCTCCTCAGGAGACCCTCCAAGACCAACAGGTGCTCTGGCCCAGGCTCCTATGACGTCACTGCCTTTGCCCTGGATTCTAGTACAAGATACTGTGTGCACGCTCAAAGAGTGGAGTCCCTGTTTCACCCAAAGCCCCACTGGCCTTCAAAGCCAGATGGTCTGGGGGCTCCTCCTCATGGTACTTGACCTTTAGACTGGGGAGCCTGGCGTGGGACTCAGAGCTTTCACTCCTGTGGGAGAACATCTGTGATATATTTATTCTCTAGTTTGCAGGTTGCCCACTTGGGGAGTGTGGGATTTGATTATATTGCAAATGCACCCCTTCTCATGGTTTCTTCTTTGTGTCTTTGGATATAAAATATCTTTTTTTTGGTAGATTCCAGTCTTTTTTTTTTCGGGGAGTCGGGGGGGGGGGGGGGGGTCCTTCCCTGGTAGCTCAGTTGGGAAAGAATGCACCTGCAATGCAGGAGACCTCAGTTTGATTCCTGGATCAGGATGATCCCCTGGAGAAGGGACAGGCTGCCCACTCCAGTATTCTTGGGCTTCCCTGGTGGCTCAGCTGGTAAAGCATCTGCCTGCAACATGGGAGACTTGGGTTCGATCCCGGGGTTGGGAAGATCCCCTGGAGAAGGGAAAGGCTACCCCCTCCAGTATTCTGGCCTGGAGAATCTCACAAACTGTATAGTCCATGGGGTCGCAACGAGTCAGACACCACTGAGCGACTTTCAGTCTTTTTGATTGATAATTGTCCAGCAGTTGTGAGTTTGGTGTACTTGTAGGAAGAGGTGAGCTCAAGGCCTTCCTACTCTGCCATTGTGTCTCTGAGTCCTTTCATATCATTTTTATAGAATTTTGCCCCTGAAAAGTTGAAGTTGGAAGTCTTGGGATTTTTCTTGTTTTGGGTTTTCCTGCCCCTCCCCTTTCTGCTGTCTTGCCTTTTGGTTATTAATGCTGTTGAAACATCTGCTTCTCAGAAACAGACTCCCATTTGCCCATCACTATTTATCATACTCCTCAGTTATTCTACCTCCATGCAGTGAAGGAAGATTAGAGAAGACAGTGTTCTAAGTGACAGGTGTGGGGAGAGACTTCACAAAATCAAAAATACTGGTAGATTTGATAAGTGACTATTAATAATGAATCTGGCAAGAAAAAATTCTTGAGTATGTACAAAGGGAAGCTCTCAAAGTGGAACTCCTGACTTATTGGCTGCTTGGGTTGTTTCTTATATTCTAAAGACTCTAGAGTGAGTGATAACTTTGACTGTGGGCCTCTGGTGAGAAATTATGTAAATCGTGGTAATCAGCCATGCTCTCTGTTCTGGCCTTTTCCAGGGCGAACTTACAGCCGGGGCTCATTAAAATTGGGCAAAGCAAACCATTGAATACTTTTTTTTTTTAAAACACAAATCATACTGTTAGTAAGAGGACTCAAGCTTGAAAGCAATAGTTTTTTCCAGACTTTAGATTTTAAGAAATTAAAGTCTTCTTGGTAGGTTTTCAACTTCAGAATTTAGTTATTCTTATTGTGAAAGTAACTTTAATATCTAGGCGTTACTAAATAATGGAGATCTGTTTTTTCTTTTTTTGATGTGGACCATTTTTAAAGTGTTTATTGAATTCATTACAATACTGCTTCTGTTTTATGTTTTGGTGTTTTGGCCATGAAGCATGTGGGATCTTAGCATCCCAACCAACCAGGAGTCAAACCCACACTCTCTGCATTGGAAGGATAAGTCTTAA